TGTGAGGAGGGGCGCGGTGGGAGGAAGGGCGCGGTGGGAGGAAGGGCGTGGTGGAGGAAGGGCGTGGTGGGAGGAAGGGCGTGGTGGGAGGAAGGGCGTGTAGGAGGAAGGGCGTGTTGGAGGAAGGGCGTGTAGGAGGAAGGGCGTGTTGGAGGAAGGGCGTGGTGGGAGGAAGGGCGCGGTGGGAGGAAGGGCGTGTAGGAGGAAGGGCGCGGTGGAGGAAGGGCGCGGTGGAGGAAGGGCGCGGTGGGAGGAAGGGCGCGGTGGAAGGCAGAGCACCTAGGACAAGTGTGTTGGGAGGAAGCGGCGCTCCTCGCTCCTCGAGCACCTCGTACGTGCCAGGCTTCTCCCCCGGTCCTGGGCTCTCAGCATCTTGGGCGGGAATGGACCAGGACTCGGAGGTAGCCAGAAAGCCCCCCATGGTCGCCCATGCTGGGACGGGGGCTAGGGCAGTGCTGAGAAGGCACACTCCCACCTGCCCCCCACACTGCAGCGCTACATCGATGGGGCCCTGAGCAATAACCTGCCCTTCGCGGACTGTCCTGCCACCATCACCGTGTCGCCCTTCAGTGGGACAGTGGACATCTGTCCCCAGAGCACCTCCGTCAGCATCCATGAGCTGAGCGTCTTCAATGCCAGCTTCCAAATCTCCTCCAGGAATTTACTCCTGGGGTTCAGAAGCCTCATACCCCCCAGCCCTGAGGTAGGTCTGGCCCCTGGAGGGTGTTCAGGGGCCTGGCTGCCATGCCAAGGTCCCACTGAAAGTGGCACAGTGCTGCTGCCTGGCCTGCAGGTGGCTTTGCCCACATTGAAGGGACAAAGGAGCCACCATCTACAGACCTGCAAGGAGCCAGGCAAAGCCCCAGCTGTCCTCGGCCAAGCCTTGTTACCCCATTTTCTAGAGGAGCAATCTGAGGCCAGGGACAGCAGGGGCTGGAGGGAGAGCACAGCCCAGGGCGACTTGGGAGGGAAGTGCCAGGGCTGCTGGGAGGGCCCAGCCGGAGCAGGTCCCCAGGTCCCTGAGCCCTACTGAGTGGCCAGGGGTGGTGTTGTGCTGTGCTCACCTCCAGCTGAAGAGGAGGCAGGCCGTGGGAGCAGACCCTCCGCCACCCCGCCGTGTGCTTGCAGGTGGTGGCCGACAACTGCAGACAAGGCTACCTGGACGCCCTGAGGTTCCTGGAGCGACGCGGTAGGTGGTGGCTCACAGCGGCTGGCCCTGGACCCAGCCGGTGGGCCTGCCTCTCAGGTGTTTGAGCCACTGGAGGCCTGGGTGCACTGTCTCTTCCTCAGCATCTCCTCTGTGCTGGGTCTGAGCTGGATGCTGGGGAGCCAGAGGAATCACACCCCCAGCTGCCTCCAGCTGGGTGCAGGGCTCTGGTGACAGACCCAGAGAAGACAGCCCAGGGAGACGAGTGCAGTGATGGGGAATGTTCAGGGCTGGGGGACCCAAAGGAGGCACAGGACCCAGTCTGAGGGTGGAGAGGACAAGGAGGGCTTCCTGGAAGCAGTGACTGATAAGCTGGGCTGTGTAGTTGTGAAGGCTATGGCAAGGTTGAGGTGGAGAGGGATAGGGCAGGGCTTCTAAGTGGAGGAAAACAGAACAAGGGCAGAACGGGGACCAGCGCCCGAGGGCATAACCAGTGTGGCGGGGCCGCATGTGTACACGTGTGTGCTCACGGGAGAACGAGTGGCCAGAGAGGTCTTCTGGGTAGGAGAGCTTAGATGCCATCCCACAAGGTGGTGCTCTTCAAAGTGCTAGGGTCGAGATTTGAACCCAGGACACTGGATCCCGGAATCTGTCCTTGAGCCCTAGACTACAAACGAGTCCGTGCAGGAAGCATTTACTGAGCACGGAATATGTACCCAGACTTGGGCTTGAGTTTTACAGATTTATCTCATTTCTCAGCACAACTGCAAAAAGCAAATCTTAATTCTCCCCTTTCACAGAAAGGGAAACCGAGGTTCGGAAGGGTCAGCTCACATAGGCGAGTGGTCCAGCATGAATCTGAACCCTGAACTGTGTGTCTTTAGGGCCTGGTCTCTGATGAACCACTAGAAAAGGGCCAGAAACCAGCAGAGCAGGCTGGGGTGCGGGGCGGGAGTCACTCTGAACGAGGCGCGGTCCGCCTGTGGCCAGCAGGTCTCTGGCTGTGTTTGGACACTGAGGGGTGCGGACAGAGTGGAGAGCCGGGGTCATCTTCACCAGCAGGCTTCAGGTGCACCCATGTGACGCATCCTCTCCCCTCCCTGACCCAGGACTCACCAAGGAGCCAGTGCTGTGGACACTGGTGGCTAAGGAGGCCCCAGCCCCAGCCCCCGGGGCCCTGGATGCTGGCCAGGACAGAGCACAGAAGGCAGGGACGGCTCTCGACTGGAAAGTCCCCAACGTGCTGGTCAAGGACGTGCCCGACTTTGAGCAGCTCTCCCCAGAGCTGGAGGCTGGTACTGCCCTTCCCGCGCGCACCTGCCGGGTCAGGGCCTGACTGACGACGTGGCCTGGGAAAGGCCAGGATGCGGTTAGGCAGCACCTGCACAGTGCCGGGCTTGGGGGCTTTCCCTGGGTGTGGCCGTCCATGCCTCCCCTGCCCCCAGTCCTGCCCATTTCACTGATGAGGAAGCTGAAGCTGGGGGGGGGGGGGGCTGGTGAGGGAGCCAGAGCCGGGGGGGGGGGGAGGGAGGGACTCACCTACGTTTCAGAGCCTCAAATCGGGAGATTCGAACCCAAGCCCATACCTGAGAAAGCTGTGTCTTTGCCCGCTACCCAGAAAAGGCAGGGGTGCTGAGGGGCTGGGCACAGACTCCCAGAGAGAGACGGACACATTTCGTCGTCCCAGCGGTGCTCTGAGAATGGAACACAGTTGTTCCCGTGGTGTGGATGAGGAAGCCATTGCTCAGAGAAGCGAAGGGACTTGCCTGAGATCACGCAGCCAGCAAAAGGCAGAACCAGGAATTCAGCTCTTCCGCTCCAGACCACATGCCACAGTCATGACAGGAACGGACAGGGTGCCCTAGGCTCATCTAAGTGAGCCCTGAAGGGAGAAGTTCAGCAGAGGAGGGATGATGAGGGTCTGGGCAGACTGCACAGCTTGTGCAAAGGCCTGGGGGGCCGATGGGGAGGTACATGTGGCTGCAGCACGGGGGTCAAGGGCAGGGTAGCAGAGGTGAGCTTGGAGAGGGGGGAGAGCTGGGCAGGAAAGGAGAGAAGCCACTGGGGCAGTGTAGGGGAGCCAGCTGGGAGGTTGAAGGGGACGGTGGTGACAGGCAGAGCAGGGCCATGGGAACAGGCAAGGGGACAAGAGGAGAGGAGGGAGCACCTCTTCCCACGCGGGAGACCGCATTAGGACCTGCGCTAATGGGCCTTCAAGTTGGGCCAGGCCCAGGCGGTCCAATTTGGGATTCTGGGATCCTGGCAGGTCACTGCAGCCACACGGGGGCGCCAGAGAGCTGCATCTGGGACGTGGGCGCCTGCCTGGTGGCGGGCTGTGGAGGAAACTGTTCGGTCCCTAACTCAGGCCCCTTAGAGATCCGTCTCACCTGCCTGCCCACAAGGACGGTCTCACCGGATTTCCGTTTTAGAGAGACACCTGGGCTCAGGGAAAAGGACGGGTCCTAGCACACAAGGCAGGTCGGTGCGCAGGCAGGTCTCCCCAGTGCACTGTCAAGAACCCTCAAAAGCACCATCTCTAGTCCAGGTTGGTGGGTGAACTGTGGTTTGAGCCCCCGTCTGGGGCTGGGATTTGCCCTGACCCAGACGCCAGAAACGTCCACTCTGGTCAGCTTAGCGAATGGGGGGGGGGGCTCAGGAAAGGTGTCCGAGGTCACAGCTGCTGCTGTTTTTTTTGTTCGTAAATTTGTTTTTGAGAAAAATTTCTTGCTATAGGGCACGTGTGCTCAACGGAGAGACAGGGAGACAAAGCGAGAAATCTTCCCCCAGGGGGATGGCCACATGGCAATCCCTTCTCCATTCTCCTCTCCTGATCGTGGGCATGCACGCACACATGCCAGGTGTTGAGTTTTAAGCCACTGGTCCCGGACTCAAACTGCAGTCGACTACGTGGGAATCCAGAGACGTAACATTACGCCATCTGCTGGTCCCACTGCTGTGGTTTTTAATATTAATGTATTAGTATTATGGGGGGTGGGGGGGTAACCTGTCCCAGAGGGGCAGGAGAGGTGGAGTCATCCTGGGCTACTGCCTCCTGGCAAGGATCCTTAGGCTAGTCACTGTCCACTCTGAACCTCAGTCTCCTCCTCTGAGAAAGGGGCGCACCTGCCCATCTCAGGGACAACGAGGAGAGGCAGGTGCCCAGGGTGTAGTGCCCTGCTGCACTTGGTAGGGGCTCTGTCATTTTGCTTCTGCCTCCGTGGGGTGGGGGGATCGGGGCGGGGCTGCCAGAGGTGGGCAGACCCCAGGGGGGCAGGACCGAGCCTGCTTCTCCCGCAGCGCTC